TGGAAGCGTTAAACATAGCCTGTACTGTTTGTCAAAAAAATATAGCCTGTACTAGCTGAATAGATAGAATAATTACAACTTGCCCAATAGCAAGGCATTCACGAAAAAATTGCTCCATTGTCCCGAGATGATTAGCCTCTGCTAGTTAGCAAGTTTCACTTCCTGCTTACTACCGTAAAGCTCGTCGCCGACCTCTGATGTAATCACGCGTTGCGTAGCCTCGTTTATTCGCATCAAACAGTCGAGAGGGAAACTAGGTGGAAACAGTCTAGATTCGAATTTTTATTTATTTAATTTTTTGCGAATTTTGAAAAGTGGATGGAAACACGATGAATGTCTCATTTTCCTTCGCCTGTCTCAATCTGATTCTAAACTCATCTGTTTACCATTTGTGGTTTTGAGAAAAGTGGCTGTAAAATTTTAAAAAATTAACAAATAAAAACAAGAGTTGCACCTCAACAACATCCCAGTGGTGTGTGAACTGCTCCAACGGGGTGAGGTGCAGACAGATGGGCGCGAGCGAAGAAGGAGGCGTGGCGCTCTCGTCCTCCTGCAGGGCGGTCAGGTTCTCGGACGAGAAGCCTACGAGGGTGGAGAACAGGAAGCTGATGTAGTCCACGTCCTGCAGAGCCGCTTCCTGGTTCCCGACGGACCAGCCGCTCAGAGAAGACCTGTCCAACAAAACCAGCAAACGTGTTGCAGACAAAAAAACTTCAAAAACTCAAAAATAAAAAATAAATAAATAAATCAACTTCTTTCATTCCTTCTCAGTATTTGGCCATTCCATGTTTCACAGGAGCATATTAAAAACAACAACGCACATAAAAACAGTTATAAAAGTGATTCCTTGTCCTCAGGGGGGATGCATCTGTAACAGCAGAAACTGTGTGAATGTGTGTTTTGTGAGGCCTGGGAGGCACATGCAGACGTTCCTCTCCATGCTGCATTCCAAACTCCCAAAGAACTCTTTGTATCAAATCTATTATGCACCACTCATATGAACTCTGTACATTAAAAAAAAAAAAAAGAGGTCAAAAATATGACCTCAGATAAAAGTAAACTGTAAAAAAATTAAAAAGCTTCTGTTGTCATCGATAAGATAAATGTGAGCCGTTACATCGAAACGAAGATTACAGGGTTCCTACAGTTTAAGGCAAGTTAAATTTAAGACCTTTTAAGACTTTTTAATGCCAAGTGAAATTAAATTTAAGACCAATTTCATAATAAACACAAATGACAAAAAAATTTAAACTGGCAGAAACTCATGAATCAAAGTATTTTTGGTTAAAGTATTCAAATATAGCTAATAGACCAATTGTTTTTATACATATCTAACTATAGCAGAAATATTTTTAGCAGTCAGTTTTAAACTTAATTTAATTTCAGGAAATCCTCTAACAACTTAAAATTTGGATTTTTCGGACCCACAGTGGGGTCTTAACCCTAATTTGCTGTAGATGAAACCTTAAAGTGCCTGTGACATCAATATTTTTGTAAGAAAAGTGAATACATTTTTGGAAAGACAACATTAATATATTACAAAACAAGTTTCACACGGCTCAGATGAACAGTTGAGATATCTGCATGTGAAATAACAGGAAGTGATGTCAAAGGGGAATGTCTGCATTTAAAAAAATAATTTTTACCAATTATTTTAATATTTGTGATGAATTACAATCATCCTATTTACAATGTGTTAACATTTTTAAGACTTCTGACAGATTGATTTAAGACATTTTAAGGCTAATTAAGGCCTTGTTTTTGGATTGGTGAATTCACTGACTTTTAAGACTTTATAAGGATCTGCAGGAAGCCTGGATTAAGGCAGATATAGGGTTTTAATTTAAACATGTAAAAATTTCACTTTGTCAAAATATAATTAATGCCTTATCAATGTATCATTTGGATAAACTGTCTGAAATATAATCCTAAAAGACATGTTGAAGCATTTTTTTGAGCAGTAGCAACAAAAAACCTGATTTTGAGGAAAAACGCCTTAAAATTTTGAGTTTTTCCCTGTGAGCTAGCAATGTTTTTGTTTCTTTCCAACTGGGAAATCTTAATATAAAAATAATATTTGAGGTTTCCTCTTTATATTAACATAAAAAATTACTCAAATGTACATAAAGTAAGGATTCAGACCAAACAGTAATGTATTATCATAACCAACAAGACAAATGAAGTCATATCTCTGGATGAGTTTATAAAATCAGAATGATCCAGGTGTCAAAATGTAGCTTTTAAAGCAGGAATATGAAAATGTAATCAGGTCATTTTGACCAAATTTGACTTAATCTTCATTTTGATATGATGGGTCACAAATATCAAATTATCAATGAGTTTCCTTTTTTAACAAGCAGGTTAGAAATGAGGTAAAACATCACTGATTTTTCTACGAAAGCACAATACTGCCATCTTATGGTGTCTTCGCTGCAACAGTTGAGACTTTAGCAGAACGTCGTCAGAAATCCAGACGTCTGGCCTGCGGCCGGGGCTACGAGCTCACCTAAAGTGGACGATACGGATCAGGGAGGCGGCGAGGCCGGAGGAGATGCGTCCGGCGGTGCAGCAGCCGCTCAGGTTGGCCAGCAGAGGCTGCGACATTTTGGGGAAGAAGTAAAGCAGCTGAACCATTTGCTGCTGGGACTCGGCTGGCAGCAGAACCACAACTCCTTCCTGCGGATCTGCGAACACAAAACAACACATTGTGGTTCCACCGCGGGCTGAGGGTTTTTCACATGAGGAAAAGGGATTCTTGGATAACTAGTTTATGTTTGGACCAAATAAGAAAGGCATAGCTACTACTGTACGGCTGCAGATAATGTGTGTGTCTGTGTGTGTCTGTGGTGTTCTGTCTGTCTCTGACGCACATGCTGATGTCAAAAGACCTCAGACAAAAGAAGTCTTGTGATGGTGAATTGCTGGCTCTGCGGCAGCCTCCATCAGACCCCGCTCCACCCCTCCCTTTGGCCCTCTGTGTCACACACCAGCCCGACTATCTGACCGTCCTCTGAGCCACACACACACACACACACACACACACACACACACACACACACACACACAGGAGCTGAGTTTTATAAGTGGTCTAAAGTAGCAGACATGGAGCTACACTGCCTCCTGAGGACATAGACCAACAAAGCATCTGGTTTATTTAGGACAGGGGTCCTGGTCCTGGAGGGCCGCAGCCCGGCAGGTTTTACTGTTTTCTCTGCTCAAACACACCTGATTTGAATGAAAGGCTTCTGAAGTATGGAGGACCGACACTGACATAATTAGAAATAAAAGCAGAAATATATAAAGTGACTAGTAAATAAATAAATACACTTAAAAGTGCACTAATATAATTAAAAAAGGAGAACTTTATTTATATATATGTATATATACATACATACATATATACATACATACATATATACATGTATGTATATATGTGTGTATATATATATGTATGTATATATGTGTATATATATGTATGTATGTATACATGTGTATACACACACACACACACACACACACACACACACACACACACACACACACACACACACACACACACACACACACACACACACACACACACATGATTCGGTTCGGTTCAATACTTTAGTCTCACGGTTCGATATTTTTTCGATACAAATAACAAAAATTCCATGCCCTTTTTAACTTGTAATTTATTGAAATTATTTATGAACATTTGTTTAACCTCAAAAGTACCATTTTTAAATTACATTTAAATATGAATTTTGCTGAAACAGCAAGTTTCTCAGTGGATCTGTGCTCAAAAATACAGCCTAGATAGAGTAGTCGAACACAGATCCACTGATCCTTCAACACAGAGGTTTAAAGCAGACCCTGTCCTTCACTTTGCTTCGTACAAGGGTCTGGACTTGATGCACAGAGAAGTGATTCTTGTAGGAGGCGTGGCCTCTGCTGAAGTTTAAAATGATTGGATCAGTTGGCTGCGACGTATGTCGCTGTGAAGGAGGCTAAGCTAAGAAGCTAACCAGAAATCACCTGTGCTGTAAACAACTACTGAGAGGAGAGAAGTACGGAGCTGAACGAGACGACTGTAAATGAGAGCTGCTGCTTTCTCAGACAAATTTGTTTTAATTTGGAAGCCTTATCAACACAGACTGGCTTCATTCACTTCCTCCACTGCCGTATGCTAAAATAACTAGCAGACACTGCGCAGAAAATTGACGTTCTGTTCTCTGATTGGCCCGGCTAAAAATCTGCCAGCGAAATCCTTGTCAATGGGAGAAATGCCAGACGGAGCAGAGAAGGGAAACTAGAATTGAGCGGAGCTGCGTAGGAAGGCAAGGGCCAGGCTAACACAGAGCATCTTCAGAAGACAAGTTCATAAAAGAAATTTTAAAAATCTGTATTGTTCCATACAAGTGTGTATTGAACCTAAAGCACTGTATTGAATGGTTCAATATGGGTACATGTATTTTTGCACCCCTAATTAATTAATTAATTTATATAAACAAACAGTAAAATGTAAATTATGTGCAAAATTATAGAATTTGTTGGAACCAAGCTGGAAAAATAAATATGATGGTAAATTAAACTACAAAATATGAGGTAAAGC